GCTGAATTTAAATTTGCCGCGTCACCCGTTGGCGGGGAACACTACACCAAAATTTCAGCCGCCTAGATTTTGTGGTCCCCGAGTTGAAAGTGCGGAACAAAATGTGGGACACACACACAAACACACACACAGACAGCCCCGTGACAATATGCGCTTTGTAACGCTGTTACACAGCACAAAACGCATAAAAACGCATCTTAGCACTGGCATTCAGTGCGCTACGCAATTATTACAAATTAAAGATGCACTGCGATAAAACAGTTCCCACCTGCATGTGTATGTCAAAGAAATCAAGGATTTCGTAAGAAGCGCTGAAAACACAATTCCTGACAGGTCAAAAGTTTGAAATCAACTTTTAGGATTCTTGGTGCCCTGTCCTTCGACCGTAAACCCAAAATTGGTCGATGCTTAACTCAAGGACGCCACAAGCTTGCAATTTCCAAAGTATAATCATCCGCATAGTACGGGTGAGCACCCGAAAATCAATAATAAATCTGTTAAATTTATAACCTCAGTCCCAGGTCATCCATACGACTATAAAAAAAGCTGAAGGACACATGGCACATGTATTTAATGCATGCAGGCAGATTTCTGGGCTAGGATGCCGCACCGCTTCTTAAAAAGCGAACACAAATTAATGCATTTAGGGTAAATAAAATCAGTGAAACTTCAAGCAGCAGCGACTTTCTCGTCCGTTGGCCCAAAGGTAACCGGGACCGTTCAAGGCACCAGGGTAAACATCGCATAATATGTAAATATTATGTTTAATATAAAAATTTTTTGTTTCAAAAGTACTTTCCAGTTTTTGAAGCACTCGCATGTGCCTTCCAGGTTGTGCGTAAAAGTTGTATTCTGCTTAAATATATCACTCAAAATACGGACTCTGGCAGAGGCAATTATGGTGACTATGAACAGTTTGTAAGAGCAAAAGACGAACTGACAGAGACGCAAAATTAAAACTATTTTTGAGAGTGCACCAGTGAGAAAGAACTGAGGGATTTTTGAAAGAGAAATGGAATGGAATGGGAAATCAGGCAATGAAATCTGACAAAAATGCAATTAGAGAAATGTGAAAATCACTGAAAACGAATTAAGTTGTGTGTGGCGAATTACGAGGAAACTTGTTTTATTTCAGCCGTGATGTCCCAGTGATGACAACGGCGCGATAATCAACAAGCAGCACATTCTCAACACGCTTTTTGGTAAAAGAAAAAAAAAAACCAAAAGGTAAGTAGCTGAGCAATGCTGGATGCACTGCAGTTCTATCGTATCTCTTGTGGTCCTTTTATCCATAGAAACGCCAAAACTCGTGCGCGGCGATGCGTAGCACAAGTTGATTGTAAAAGTTCCTTAGACCAGTGGAAGGCACCGAACTAGACTATAGAATAGCTGCTTGGCCTACTCAGAGATTCAGAAAACCCAGACTGCGACGTACTAAGCTTGCCGGTGCGATCATGCGTTTTTGCATGATTCCATTTTGTATAAAGATTGTCTATACAACAGGGGTGTAACCGCAGTACTGCAATTTGAACATTGCAAAGGGGACCCGTGCCTAGGGAGAAGTTCATCTTACCCTTGGGAGCCCACACATGAACATCAAATATGCTCAGGAAAATAATGCTTCCTGCTCATCCTGGTTCCCGAGTTATTCGGGTGCCAAAGTGTCCAGAACTAAACATTCACCCGGGGCACACGCGAGATCTAGGCGTGTCTCAAAGCTCAAATCAAAATACTGCGGTTGCACACAGGCACAGAATATCCTCGTAAAGTTTCAGCTCCCGGACATTTCTGGCTGGCGAAATCGCTTTCATTGTGCGAAATTTCTAGCATATCGGGCACAGGCAAATTACCAAAACTCATTTTATGCCTACATTCCCAATTATGGAAAACAAATATTATCGTAAAGTTACAGCCCCTAATTAACTTAATTCCTGAGCTGTCATGTTGCCAGCGATTGTGAAATCTCAACTTTGGCGCTTATACGAGATGCATGTATGCGCTAAAGCTGAATTTGAAATCTTCAGCTCAAAGTAGGACATAGGGTATGTATGTGAAATTTCAGCTTTCTACCTTTTCTGTTTCCCGAGATCACTTTTCTGCCAAAAAGTCGCTTATTTTTTGAGGCGTTTGTGAGATCTAGATAATTTTAAAACGGAACAGCCGCACATGGGATGGGGAGATACTCTCAAAGCTGTTTCAACTTTCTAGCTCTTCTGGTTCACAAGTTGAAAGTGTGTGGTAGAAAGTGCGTACACACACACTGCCTCTTGCCAATATGCGTTTTAGAGCTAACATAATACGCAAAAGCGCATAAAAAGGAGCAAATATTTGAATTTAGCAAAAACCAAGCAATAAAAATTGCAAGCAAAATCTAAATACTCAAAACAGAGGCTATGTGAAGTGGCCAAACTAAAACCAAGTGTAAGAAATATATCCCACATTTCAGCCTTGAGAACTCTTTTTTCGCGATTCCCTGGTCAAAAGTATCCTTCACAGAAAAGGTGAGGAATTCCCTAAGGTGAGAAATTTCTTATGAAAATTTCACGTGCCGGTACGTGAAAGCTGAATTTGAAAACATGGACGGGGGACATCCATCCAAATTTAAACATTGCAGTTTTCCGGCTTTTGAACTAGTGACTTTCACATCACAATTCTCACGTGGTCTTATGTAAGACCTCTGCATACTTGGAAGCTATATTTGAGTTTATGAGATACCAGCAGCGGCAGAAAATATCGTCCTGAAATTCCAGCTTTCTAGCTTTCATGGTTTCCGAGATATTAATTTTGGTGCCCAAAAACCTCACGTATCCCTGCGTGAGCTCTAGACACACGAGGAAGCTGAATTTGAGTCTGCAGAATCACACACAGACAGGGGATATTATCTTAAAATTTTAGCTTTCTAGCTTCTCTGCTTCTTCAGTTAATGACTTCTGCGCCAAAACTTTCACGTGCCCGTGCGTAAGGCCTGAGCGCAAGTGAAAGCTGAATTTAACTTTACCGCGTCAAATGCGAGCAAAGAACATTTTGCTAAAATTCGGCTCCCTCACTTCCAAGCTCCCAAAGCTATTAACTTGGGCACCAAAACTTTCACGTGACTGACCGAGAAGACTAGGCGCATGGACGCTGAATTTGGGTCTGAGAGATCACACGCTGGTAAGGGGTCCTAACCAAAATCTTAGCTCCCTAGCTTCTCCGGTTGTCGATATGAAACCCCCAGGTAGAATACACTAAGAACACACACAAATACACATACAAACAGGGTCTCGATAACATGCATTTTGTGCAACTGTTGCAACATGAAATAAATAGTGACGCGCACCAGGGCAGCCGGTGCGATCATGCGTTTTGTGCAATTCTGTTCATCGAAAGATTGCCTACTAATGATTTTCACTGCTTTGCACTTTGGTCTGTGC